GTGAGAAAGGGGGTAACCAGAAACCTATAAAAAGTACAATTCCATTGGCAAATCAATAACACCAGCAATGGAAGATCCACCTCAGTCTGGGCTACAAGCCCTCATAGTAACTAAATAACTGTAACCCAACTTTTAAGCTGCAGCACTGGGTTCTGTGACAGTGTCTGAGAGCAGAGATTGTGACAGAGGTGAGATCAGCACATCTACAACACTCTTCTGAAGTCTTTCAAGGAGCAATTGTCGTTTGGAAGTTTGCGGTACGCATAAACAGGCAGGAATATGAAGAGCGGGCACTCAGGCTATACACTAGAAAGCTGTTGGAACTGGAACCAACACACGTTAGCCCTCAGGGCACGAATGAACACTAGTCCCTCCCCCACACCACTACCACATCCTCAAATCAAACTGCTAACCCTAACCTTCAACTATATTTGGGTATGCGTAATACAAATTCACCATATAAGGTAGAAACAAGACGGCTCGCCTCAAACTAGTATCAACCTGCTAACGCTTTGCATATCACACCAACAAGATCTTGTATGGACCATATAGGTGTTAAAGGCAGCTGTGTTTTTACAACCACTTCTTTGCTCATCCTGGCTTAGTCAGCTGCACTTCTGCCTGAGTCAGAAGGTTGCAATGGCAGCAGAACCTTTGCAGAAGGTTCTGTCACCATCGACCCGAGCTGCTTCCGCAAAAATGCTCCCACCCCTGTCCTCTACCCTCCATTACTCCCGCTCGGTCCTTCTCTCCCACTACCCGGAGTCCTGTAGCTCAGTGGTTAGAGCACTCGCTTTGCAAGTGGGAGACCTGAGTTCAATTCTAGGCAGAGGGCGAAACCTTGGGCAAGTTTCCTTACTCCACACAGAGCCTAATAATAATCCTCCAAAACCAAAAACAATAATAAATTGGTCATTTTCAATCTACGACTGTTTGTGGGACATTACTGTGCGCAATTGGCTGCCGCGTTCGCCCACAAATATACAGTCAATTCACTTTACAGTGTGTTCTGTGAAGCGCTTTGGGACGTCCTCCTGACGTGAAAAGCGCTATATCAAATGCAAGGGTTATTATTATTACCCTCCCTGACTCCTAACCCTGCTCGACTGTCCCACAGCCTCCCTCTGCTCCAGCCTGCAAATCCTCTGTCGGGCCCACCGTGGCAGATACCGCTGGCTGTCCAACAGCAGCCACTCCGACTGCCCTATTCCCCCACTCTCGCTGCAAGGCTGATCGATCCCTGACCCCGGAGGCCAACCTCTCCTCTCTCATCTACATCACCATCCTCCCTGTCAGTCATCCACCTCGCCCCCCCACATTCCGCCACCAACTGTCCCCTCCGCTTCGGCCTACAAAGGGCCCGCTTCGGGAGATCTGGCTGGACCTTATCAAATCCTAATGCTCTGCCCTCGCCTCTGCTAAATCGTCATTCTATTCTAAGACAATCTTAGAGGCCAAGGACAACCTCAGGCTCCTATTCTCCATCGCCAATTAGATCCTCCGCTCACCCTCTCACGCTTCGCCCATCCTTACCTTCAATGCCAACTGCGAGGCGATGCTGGACTTCCTCAAATTAAAAGTTGAGGGGATCAACTCAGCTGCCTCTGCTTTTCCGTCTACTACACTCATCTCCCCATCCAATGCCCTACCCAACTTTGAATACCCATCTGCACACCTTCAAACCTGTATCCCACTCCTCTCTCACCACCACTATTATCCGCATGACACCGACCACCTGCTCTCTCGACCCCATCCCTTCCCCTCTCCTTACCTCCCAGCTCCGCCTTCTTGCCCCTCTTCTCAGACAGACTTCCCTGTCCACTGGTACTGTTCCCACCCCATTAAAAACGGCCATCATCACTCCTATCCTTAAAAAACCCTCCCTGGACCTATCTCTACTCTCCAACCTCCCTTTCCTCTCCAAGGTCCTGGAACGAGTTGTTGCTTCCCAGCTTCGCTCCTTCCTCTCCCGCCATTCCCTTCATGAACCCCTCCAACTGGGTTTCCGTGCCGCCACACCACAAGAACAACCCTGGTCAAAGTCACAAATGACATTCTGTCCATCTGGGACCAGGTCTCCCACTGCCTCCTCGCCCTCCTTGACCTCTCTCTCTGTTTCCCCCCCTGCTCTCCCCCCTCCCCCACCCCGGGTCTGTAACTCTATCTGTCCAGCGCCTGGGAATGTTCTCCTGACACGTCATTTTGTTGTTGTTGTTGTTGTTGTCACTCACTCCATGCCTTAGAGTGAGGGTTGGGGCCGTTTCTGGGTGCAATTGTCCCACAAAACCCACAATCACTACAAAACAGTATATCCTGTGAAGCACTTTGAGACATCTCGACAACTTGATCAGGCACTGGATTATCTTGAACGTCCACCTGAACATGGCTCAGTTCTTACCTCTCCGAAAGACGGCGTCTCTGATAATAGCGCTCTCTCTCTCTCTCTTTCTCGCTCACTCTCTCTCGTTCTCTCTCTCGCTCTCTCACACTCGCTCTCTCTCTCGTTCTCACTCTCTCGTTCTTTCACTCTCTTTCGTTCTCTCACTCTCTCGTTCTCTCACTCTCTCGTTCTCTCTCACTCACTCTCTCTCGCGCGCTCTCTCACACTCTCTCTCCTCTCACTCTTTCTCGTTCTCTCGCTCGCTCTCTCTCTGATTCTTTCTCTCTCTCCACCCAGCGCTGTGCTGGACTGTCAGCCTAGACGGTGAGCTCAGAGACCCCGTCCTGAGGCTCGAACTCACAGCCTCCTGACTTCATTACATCCAGGTTCGATCCCCCCCCAAACTCTTCCCCCCAACTCCTCCCTCCACAGGCTGCAGATCATCCATAACTAACTCTGCAGCCCATGTTCTCTCCCGCACCGGGCTCCATAACCCTATCACCCGACTCAACTGGCTTCCCATCACACAGAGGATAAGGCTCAAGATCCTGGTCCTCACCCCCTAGCTCTGCAACCTCCTAACCCCCTCCTTCCGCTCAGCGGGCTTAGCCTGCTTCACGTTCTCCCCGCCTCGCTCGCCCCACCATTGCCGATTGGCCTTCTGCCATTCTGATCCCACCCTCCATCCCGCAGTCCCTCCGCCTCGCCCCTTCCCTAGCCTCCTTCAAGACCCATCTCAAAACCCTCCTCTTCCACAGTGCTTTCGATCACCCTGCTTGCCCCCTGCCCTCCCCCTCCCCAATCCTGACCCCCCGCTCAGGTCTGAAACTCTGTCCAGCACCTTGGAACGTGACGTGAAAGGCGCTGTACAAATGTAATTTTGTTGTTGCTGCCTTATCACACTGTTGAGACATCACAAAGCACTTCATAGAATATACTGTAAAGTGAAGTGACTGCATTTTGAACACTACATTATGGGCTACTGACTAAGAGAAGGCATCTATAGAAAAGACACAACAACACTTCAGTTCAGTGATAATAGATAACGAAACCACAAAGTCAAAGTTAACAATTCTCTGAATAATTAAATATCTCACAATAACAAAAGACTTCTTATATAGAAGGGAAGCAAAAATGGTGAATAGGAAGAGGGAGGAAATGTCACAACACAAAGCACCCTTCGCAAGTGAAGTAAAAGAAGTGGGATCACTTAAGTGTAAAGGCAGCTTGCTAGTTGGATGAATGATAAAAATAAAATCATCTTTGAATTTGATATACAGTAACGCCTTATCACGGCGGGCCATCTCAAAGTGCTTCACTGTAAAATGTGCTGACTTTATTTTTAGGTGAACACAGCAGTCAATTTGCACACAGTAATGTCCTCCAAAGCGGTGTGGGGGGATTGTTGGACAGAAACTCCCAGCCCTTCGAATAGCGTCATGGGATCTTTGAAGTCTACTTGAACAGGCAGACGTGACCTTGGTTTAAAACCTTATCTGAAAGACAGCACTTCCAATGATGCAGCGCACACCCAGCACTGTATTGAAAAGCCATCTTAGACAAAGTTTCTTTAAACTCAATATAGGGGATGCTCTGACTCAGAGGCAAGCCTTCTCTTGTGATCGTTCAATACCTTCTGCTTTACTTCTGCTCTGACTCAGAGGCAAGAGTGTGACCAACTCAGCCAGACTCACACTGATCATTTTACTTTGGTTTTCATAAAAACGTATATCAGTAGAATGCTGAGCAATGAAAAGCAATTTCTAAAGAGTAACTATTATAGAACTCAGTGGAAAACATTATCCAGCCTCAACGCAATGCACGACAAATTGAAAATGAAAATTCCCCGTCTACTCCTTAAAGTATGTTGGAAATAGATCAGCCAGAACTGGAGTGCAGAAAGGGGGCGCGGGATATATTGGGCCATAGGCCAGTTAGTCTCACTTGACAATTTTCACATTAGATAAAGCGGCAATAACTTTGAAATGTTTCAAAGCACTTCACAGGGATTTTCTGTCAAGTGCAGGTAATGTGGCAGCCATTTTGCGCACACAAAGCAGCCCCCAAACAGCCACAAACTGAATGACCAATTTATCTGAAGGACTGTTGGCCAAGACAACAGAAGAAATACTCTTATCATGCAATTTTTAAAAGAAGCAAATTCATCCTGTATGGTTGAACTTTGAACGTTGGAGTGTCATAGACCATAGAAATGTGCAGCACAGAAGGAGGCCATTCAGCTCATTGTGTCTGTGCTGGTGTTTAAGAGCAATATTTTCAGTCTCATTGACTTGCCCTTTTCCACACATATTCCCTTTGAGTATCTAGTTCCCTTTTGAAAGCTAATATGGATTCTGCCTTGACCACTCCTCCTAGCATGGCATTCCTAACTACTCTGGCGTTAAAATAAAATCTCACCTCCCCATTTGCTATCTATCTTAAATTGATGTCCTCTAGTCACTGACTCACCGACCATTAGCTCAAAGTCTCGATGTGGGGCTTGAACCCAGGCTGACTATTCAAACTATCTGTGGTTGAACTTTGAAGCCAGAAATGGGACACTTGGCTGAATAGAGACCAAGCCCGAGAAGTATTAGTCATGTTATGGTAGGGTTCTGACCTTGCAACATGCTTCTGTAAGCGGTGTCTGTGATGGCATAGATGTGGGGCGGCATCTCATGCCTCTTCTTTCCTTTGTACATCTCGACAATCTCCTCAGAGTAAATGGGCAGGTTCTTGTAGGGATTGATGACCACACAGAAAAGGCCCGAGTAGGTCTGAAACAGAAAAGATCCACAGTTATAGTTTACAATCCAGATTCATCCTCACAACACGTCTCAGCAAACTGGCCTGGATCAAGAACTCCCATATTAGTCTATGGGACTAATAGTCTGCATAATTCAGAGTCATTTCTTTGGTTCACTCGGAATTCTCCCTGAACCTGGAATGCCAGACATCCCTTATAGCTATTTCAATGTTTGTTATATAAAAACACACGAAATAAGACACATACTTTTATCGCAACTAAGCAATTGCCTCGTAAGAATCCTTGCATTTGAAATAGTCCCTTACATTGCTGAGATGCCTCAAACGCTTCACAGCAATCATTGTAAAGTAAAACAATTATTTTGTAGGCAAACACAGGAGTCAATTTGTACACAGCAGTAGCCCACAAAAATTCAGGAGAGTAATTTTATATGGGGGAAATGTTGCCCACAACACTGGGAGAGAGAAATTCCCTTCTCTCTTCAGAGGATAGCAACACTGGAGCAAACATCCAGCACCACATTGGAGTGTCAGTCTGGATCAAATCCCGATGTGGAGCTTGAACCTTGAATCTTCACTCAGAGGTGAGAATGCTACTGATTGAGCCTTAGTGAAGAGAATCCACTCTACATTAAAAAAGGATTTCACAATCAAATGCGTGTAGCAGCCTGGTGGAGTGGTAGCACCCTCGGCTCCGAGTCAAAAGTTTGTGAGTTCAAGCCCCACTTGGGGACGTGGAATCACATAGTCTAAACTGACAATCCAAAGTGGTGCATTTGTATAGTGCCTTTCACATCCTGTCGCAAGGTGCTGGACAGTCAGGGATTTGGATCCGAACTGGGGGTCGGGATAGGGGAGTGTGGAGGGCAGGGAGGATAGGAGGGCGGCCGAAGGCTCGGTCAAAGAGGAGGGTTTTGAAATGCGCTTTGAAGGAGACGAGGTGAAGGGAATTTGGGATGGAGTTCCACAGGGTGAGGAGGGCAGAGAGACTGAAGGCCTGAATGCCGATGTTGAGGCTGGCCGGATGGGGGACATGGAGCAGGCCAGTGCCTGCTAAGCAGAGGGAACAGATAGGTTGCTATGGGGTCAAAAGGTCTCAGAGGTAGGAGGGGGCAAGGCCATGGAAAGTGTTGAAGATGAGGATTTGAACTCTATCCTCTGGGGTATGGGGAGCCAGTGGAGCCGGACGAGATCACAAGGACAATATAATTCAAGCAGCGGCAGGACAGTTGTCATGTTGCACATGGGTCTGACTTTCCTCCCTCGGCAATGGTTAAGATCAAGTTTCCAATGTCCCCAGGCACACCTTGCTAATGAACATGAAAAATCTTGTTCTTCTCTGGCCAACTTGGGGAGCACACAAACAATCCTGTGGCGATGGGCCAAGATGCTCCATCAAAAGGAATCGAAGCCAGACTGGAGCCAAAGGCTGCTTTACATCATCTCCCAGTCAGCAAGCTGGACTGGGTAAATTGAAGATCTTGAGAATTCTAGGAACCCAAGCTTGATGCGAGATCACTAACTGCAGAATAACTTGCAACTCAAACAGACAATAACTAACACTCAGTGGGCAACAAGCATTCAAGGCTTCAACCCTACTTCCAAATGATATCGCTAGGGATGGCAGATTCTGGTTTATTGTTGGTCGGCGAATCAGTAATTTTACAATTACAGGGGGCAAAATTTTACGATTACCACCAAAACAAAGTAATAACCACACTTGAAAATCCTGCAACAAAGCTAGTGCGTCTTGGAACTCAAACGCATCTTTCCCTCAAGATCTTCATCTACTGCTTTCTGCCCACCTCCAAAATCTCTTCTTCCTTCAGTTTCTGCTCCAAACCCCTCCTCAGGAAGTTCCATCTCACCTTCACCCCTCCCTCATCACATCTCCATCAACTTTCCCGTCCTCAACCTCTCACTGCATAAATCCCCCCGCCCATATGCGCTGTTCCTTTCCAGCACTCCCTGTATAATCCCTCCAATCTGGCCTCTGTCCCACCTGCAGCACAGCAGTCCTGGTAAAATCACAAATGACATTCTCCAGGTGCTGAACAGTGTTGGGGGTTTGCACCTGAGCTGGGGTTGGATTCAGAAATGGGGGGGAGGGGAGGGGGGGGAGAGAGAAGATGACTGAAGGCCTCAAAGAGGAAGAATTTAAAGGAGGCAAGAGAAGGGGAGAGGTGAAGGTACTCCTGAATTGAAATCCGGATAGTGGGACAGATAGGCTGAAAGCACAACCACCGATGGTGGGGAGGGCATGGCGGGGAAATATTTCCATTCCCTCCATTCAGCTAGTGCTGGATTGCCCATGCATTCCATCCCATTAGCAAGCTTTCAGCCACTTTGCCCCCACTTTCTGGCATCCTCTGCCAAAATCTCACTGCCTCACTCCTCTCTGCTTTCAAAAAGCGGGCAAAAAAAAATGATTGACTTGGGCTCCCATCTCCCACCCATTTTGTGACCCTGTAACAAGCTGGGAAATAGTGACTGATCCAGGTGTTTTTTGACTTGCCCCAGACAAACTTTTAGTGGATCATGTTGTATGGTGCTTGAAACTTAACAAACCATTCGAAATGACTGAAACCCGGTCCCAAGCTAAACCTGCTGGTTAAGTGTTGAAATCTTTCTTCTTACTGTGAATTTAGCTTTATTCAAAAGTTTTTGCATTTTCCACACACAATATAAATACTGTCAAAAGCAGCCCGAATTGCTGCCCCCCACCGGGCTCCCAATTAAGCATAGAATTCTGGCATTGGAGCAACACAGAGAGCTACCATTGCGCCCTTGTTGAGCACAGGTTTGCCTACAGCAATTTATATGGCGCCCTTCACACTGGGTAGCGTCCCGGAGTGCTTCAGCGACTGAGGACTTGGCTTCCAATGCTATTTAGTCAGCTTTACACGCTCAAATATCGGCAACTTCCAGGTCCCCACTGACTTTGTTTCCTGCTTGCTGATGTAATTTAGAGAAAAAAGGCAGAGAGAGATAGAAGAGGTAGAGAGATAAAATCCAACCCCCATCCCGCCAAACAGTTTGTGATGGAGAAGAGTAAAGTCCTGGAGTGCATTGGTTGAGCACTCGCCTTGCAAGCAAGAGGACCTGGGTTTGATTTCCGGACGGGGCGAAACCACAGGCAAGTTTCTTTACTCCACACGTCTATTTATCTAGCAGTAAGTTAGGAACCCAGTTGTTAGTCTATTGGCGTATTAATTTCTGGGGGTATTAATCCCTCTAAAAAAAAGTGGTCATTCAATCCACGATCGTTTGTGGGACACTGCTATGAGCAGCTGCGTTTCGCCCACAAATTCACTTTACAGTATATTACAATGAGATGTCTCAATGATTTGAAAAGGCAGTATATCAAATGCAAGGATGATTAAAGAAAGAGGAGCTCCTAAGAATGCTTCACATTATCTGAGAGGGACTGTGCATATTCACTGAACAAGTCTATCAATTGCTCTTGAAGAGTTAAATGTTTCAGCTTCTAATCTGCGTGGGTGGAGTTTAAGGGTCATCCACTCACAAACTGCCGCCACTACAGTCTTCAAATCGGTCCCAAAGCAGGAGGCCCATTAAATACAGTAAATCTGGTGTCCTGACCTTGGCTTCGCTTTTCTAAACAGAAACAACATATTTCTGCAATTTCAAACTCCACTGCTATTAAAGATTTAAGTACTAAATAGCTTGAGAACGGAAACATGATTGGAATAATTGAACATTGAGAACATGAAATTGCACAATGCAGCAGTTAAAGCCAGCACACTCCTAGCCGAGGCCTGGAAAGCCTCGGCTCAGGCGCAAATCTATTGCATCCTAACCAAGGGATAAGCATTGGAAAACACTCAAGACTCCTTGCTAAATGCATAAATGGCTAGTAGGGTTTGGCACTCAGCCAAACAGATCAGGGCAGTACCTGGGCCTATTTCTGATCTGTGCTGAGTTAGCTGATCTTAGTCTAGTCTTAGCTGATCTTAGTTTTAGTCAGGGCTGGACTTGGGAGGCAATGTTACAAAGTGGTACAAAACAAACTCCTGGTCTGAGAGAAATAGAGACACAAAAACACTGGTTTTCTGTGTATTTGGTAAACCATTTATCATATCGGTGAGATGTCTAAAAGTGCTTCACAGAATATACTATAAAGTAGATTGACTGTGTATTTGTGAGTCCCCAGCTTGCTTGGACACTACTTGGTCTGCTCGATGATCTGTCAAAAGTGCTTTCATACCTGAGGTTCTATCCTAATGGGTCTCTCTCTGGCTGCACTGGAAAGGTTCCAGGAGTCTATTACCCCCTATCTGAAGAAAACTGCAACACAACAGCAAATCTGGCAGCCTTTTCTGTGGTGTGTAGAAATTGGACATGAACAACACTTATGCCCCTGCTTGGAAAGGCTTTGCAGTAACTCTGCCAAACTTCCTATTGCATATCTCCCACCTTCCTCTCCTCTCACCAGACCACATGCAACTTCCTGATGACAACAGGATGCAAATCAAGTTACTCAGCAATGATTGTGTTGCAAAATGTTTTTTCCTCCTTGTTACCCACAGTCTTGTTACTGCCTGAGGAAGCACATCCTCCTGTAGGTCTTTCAATCACCTAGCATCTATCTGACCAACTAGACAGTAAATTCGAGTCAAAGTGGCCCTGTGGCATCATGCGTCACAGAGCATGTACGTATGTACCCACGCACTGCAGTTACATCTGGTGGCCTCACCGGCTGACCGTGGCATTGTGGCATCTTGTGTCACAGAACACGTAACCAAATAGTGGGAACAAAATAAAGAACACAGATGAAGCTAAGTCGCAGCAACAACAACAAAATTACATTTTTAAAGTGTCAAGTCCTCCCATTGAGTAATCCCACAGACGTCCACCGATGAGTATAGATAAAGATAAAATGTCTGTCTGTGTGTCAATCTACATTCCATATTGGATCCTTTGATCGCAAGCGTAGCTGCAACGGGTACAGTTATTACACAATAAATGCAGTAATCTAATAATCTTGCATTTGATATAGTGCCATATCACATCGTTAAGATGGGCCAAGCACTTCACGGGATTTTACTGGGAAATGAAGACTATTTTGTAGGCGAACACAGCAGATAATTTGGACACAGCACAAACAGCCATGAAGTAAATAACTGATTTTTATTTGAGAACTTTTATTCCAGAATGTTGACTGTACTTAACTAAATTGAAAAGGAACAGCCGGTTTCAAGTACAAATGTGTCAGCGTATGGTTAAGAAATTTCACAATTTTGTGATTGTCTTCCCTCAATAACTATGCCCAAATAAGGGTAAAATTCAGCAAATTCTGGATTTACCAAGCTTTAGCTTGGGTGTGTTGCATGGGGGAGAGAGAGAGCGAGCGAGAGAGGGGAAAAAAATTAAATGGTAAAAGTACATCCAAGTTGGACTGCAACCTCTGTTCAATTTAAAAATCTGTGAATTCAAGCTCCAGTCAAATTGAGTTCACGGGATAAGCTCTAAATGCCTAAAACAACAATAATAAATTACACTTGTATAACACCTTTCACGTCGGGAGATGTCTCAAGGCACTGGACAGCCAAGGATTTGAACCTGAGCTGGGGTTTGGGATCAGGAGGGTAGGGGTAGGAGGATGACCAAAGGGACTGCTGAAGATAAAGGTCTTAAGATGGACCTTAAAGGAGGCAAGGGCAGGGGCGAGGCAAAGGGATTGTGGGATGCAGAGGGTGGGTACATGGAGCACGCCAGAATCCGCTGAGCAGATGTAGCGGACACATTAGTAAAGGCCCTCATAAGGCCTTTCATTGCAGCACGCACTCCCTGGTGTGCAATCTGGTAAACTCACACCAGACTGAAGTCCAAAGGGAAAATGCCAGCAAGGTTCAGCATAGTATTTTAAATGAAAGAGGAGACTATTCAACCCAGCAACTAAGCGCAAGTTTTGAATGTAACGTACATAGTTAGAAAGGCAGAGAGAGGGCGGGGAAGAGATAACAACCGTGCTATATGAGAAAATTTATGTTCCCGGGAGTCCAGCATGCAAATTACTATGGTCTGCTCTGGCGAATTGTACTTCTACATTGAAGCATGTGGATAAGGGATCCTTTTACTCCTGTTTTGTTGCCTACAAAATACAGTCAATCCACTTTACAGGGAAGCACTTTTGGGTCGTCCAAAAGGGAATGACCAGGTCGGTAGGGCTGAAGGAGTTTGCCAAGGTAGGGTGGAGCAAAACTGTGGTGTGATTTAAAGGTGAAACAAGGATAATAATAATAATAATCCTTGCATTTGATATAGCGCTTTTCACGTCGGGAGGACGTCCCAAAGCGCTTCACAGAACACACTGTAAAGTGAATTGACTGTATATTTGTGGGCGAACGCGGCAGCCAATTGCGCACAGCAATGTCCAACAAACAGTCGTAGATTGAAAATGACCAATTTAATTATTGTTTTTAGTTATGGAGGGATTATTATTAGGCTCTGTGTGGAGTAAGGAAACTTGCGCAAGGTTTCGCCCTCTGCCTGGAATTGAACTCAGGTCTCTCACTTGCAAAGCGAGTGCTCTAACCACTGAGCTACAGGATTCCACAGGATCTAACGGCACTAAGGATTTTTTTATACATTGAAGGAAGGATTATGATCTGACTAAGAAGCATTTGTCAGGGTATTGTTATGTGGAGTTTTATAGACTGCAATTTGTTTTACTCCTGACCTAAACAAAACACTGGTGCATTAGAGATGATCAGCCCCTTGATCCTATCAGTAATGAGATATTCTTTTAATCAGAGCTGCTGGAAAGCAAGAGAAAGAAGTACTTCAGTTCACGAATGACAGGAAACTGACTTGAAAGGAAATTATCAACCCAATCTATACTCTTTCTACAAGAATTCAAGAGGAACATCAGATCAAACGTAACCTTAAAATTGAACCATCTCTTGGCTCGGAGTTTGGAATTTTGTACGCAGAGCTCAAAGCAGCGAAGGCTAAGGAAATAGTCTCTCATCATTCCCCATCTCCTCAAATGTACCTACAGATACTTCCCATTCCCCCTTCTCTTGATCAGTAGGTCTGTGGAATGCCCCAAAAGCTTTTCTTGCAAAGAGGATGCAATATAAATGTCTTTTTTAAAAAGTTTGAATAACAACAAATTTGTTAATAGCACCTTTCGCGTTGGGAGGCCTTCCCAAGGTGCTGGATTTGCACTAGAGCATGGGGTTGTGATCGGAAGGGGTGGCAGGCCGGGAGGGTAGGGTAGGAGGCTGACCAAAGTCCCAGTCGAAGAGGAGGGTCTTGACATAAGCCTTGAAGAAGTCAAGAGAGGTGGTGAGGCTAAGGGACTGTGGGATGAAGTTCCAAAAGGTGGAGGCACAAAAGCTGAAGGTCCAACTGCCGATGGTGGGGCAAGCAGGATAGGAGGACATGGAGCAGGGTAGAGTCCGATGAGCGGAGGTAACACACAGATCAGAATGGAGTTAGTATGTCACAGAGGTAGGGAGGAACAAGGCCGTGGAGGGCCTTGAAAGCGAGGATGAGAATCTTGAACTCTATCCTCAGTTACATTGTGAACCCATAACTTTCTGGTCATTCACATGGCTGTTTGTGGGACATTACTGTGCACAAACAGGCTGCTGTGCTTGTCTACAAATACAGTCACTACACTCCTGTGAAGTGCTTTGAGACATCCTCCCAACATGAAAGGCACTGTATACATTATTAATTGACCAGCATCTATCCATCATGCTTAAATTCCTCAATCTGATATGTTTGGCTTTATAGGGCAGTGAAATGCAAAATTTTACCACTCCCTACTTATAAAGATCAGCCTTGATCAGTCCTAATCCCTTTTACCCTAAATGTAATAAGGTCATGTCCTCCAGTAGTTAAAAAGGCACAAGGGTCCAGTAAAGAAATTGCCATACAGTGTGTGTGATATAGAACAAAATTAAAGAGTTATGTATAAATTAAGAAGGGAATCTAGTTTTGAATGAGTGAATGCAGTTTCCACATACATAATTGCATTTAATATAGTGCCTTATGTTGTCAAGCTGTCTCATAGTGCTTCACATAATTTGACTGACTGTATTTGTAGGGAAATACAGCAGGCAGTTTGCGTGCAGTGAATTCCCATAAACAGCAATGGAACGAGTGACCAATTTTTGGGGGGTTGTTGGCCTAGACACCAAGAGAAACTCTCTTCTCTTTTACAATAGTGCTACAGGATTTTTAGACATGGTCTCAGGTTTAAATATCTTGTCTGAAAGACGGCATCCCCAACAACAACACAAAATTACATTTATATAGCGCCTTTCATGTCGGGAGGACGTCCCAAGGCACTGGACAGACAGAGTTATGGACCCGAGCTGAGGCTCAGGGTGGGAGTGAGGGGGCGGAAGCAGTGAGATCGAAAGTACGGTCAAAGAGGAAGGTCTTGAGGTGGATCTTGAAGGTGGGTAAGGGAGGGGACGAGACGGAGGGACTGCGGGATGCAGTTCCAGAGGGTGGGCACAGAGTGGCGGAAGGCGGAACAACACAATGCTTCCACCCCCTAGCACTGCACTGGAGCATCAGTTCAAAATCTAGACATGGGGCTTGAACCCACAACCTTCTGACTCAGAGGAGAATGAGCTAGGCTGACATGGTGCTATGCAAGAAAGGGCTGTAAAGCTACCTTTTGCGAGGAATTCCACATGTGTTGCTAAGTTTGTTATTTGTCAGAACCCGCTTTGAACTGAAGTATTAAGTGTTTTCAGAAGTAGTTTTTGCTGGCGCTAGTAGCAGATTAAATAGACAAAACAATAACTTACGTAGATTAGCCCTGAGTAGTAACGCTCCTTCAGATTGTGCAACACAGAAGCCTCGTTCAGGCATGTCAGCTCTGCCATGTCTTCCACCTTGGAGAACTTCGGTGGGTTCATCTTCTGGATGTCATCCTTGTTGACCTTGATTTTCTTGCCATTTTCCATCAATTCCACCACAGCCTCCTCACCATGCTCCTCCTTGACGCTGGCAGCCTCAAACCCACTGCGCTCTGAAGGCACCCACACAAGCTTCTTTGCTGCCCAGTCGGCCTGTGCCAGTGGGTTATTGATAATATTCCTATCCACATAGAGATAGCTTTCTGCATCTCTTTGAGCCATGGTGTCTTATAGCAAGAGACCTGCAAAGAAAACAAGTTTGCTTTATTAATACGATATTAATGTGCCTTTCGTAAGAAGATTGGAAGAAATGCTAGACGAAAGAAAGACCAAGGTTCCACCTTTCTGGCAGTGGCATGCACGTATATCCCAAACTAACTATTACTATATCACATAATCTTATTTCCTAAAACTATCTCATCTGTGTTTGAAGGAATCAACATTTCCTGTGTAAATCTTCTCCCTAGGGAGCCTGTTCCACAGGTTTAGTATTCACTCACTTTTATGTCAGGAGGACATCTCAAAGTCACACACCTGCTGTCTATAAACAGAGGAGCACAGCCATTTAACCGATAGCCAACTCTGCTATTTTGTTAGTTTGTGACAGCTCTATCTTTCTAAGGCCATTTTCAGCACCTCAAAATATCCCATTTTCCAAGTAGATTTAGAAATAGATGAGCAAAATATCAGGTTCATTTTGTCCCAGTAAAACAAAGGCAGCAGATCAATATGCAATTTTAGCTGATTCAATAACAAAAGTCTTCTTAATGTCCTGATATTTTCATACAGCAGTACGTTTGTAACTGTAATAAAGCATTTTCATCCTAAAGTACTTAGCAAGCCAACAATGTACAAAAAACATTGGAGTCTTCCTCACACTGCACCTCGTGGTTAAATTAAAGGAACATTTACAAAAATTAAGTGGGAATCAAGGAGACTTAGTACAGAGGTACAAGCAAGGGGGATCCAATAACTCCAGTCTGTGCTTAAAAACAGTTTCTTGCCATAAAACACTCCCTGCACCCAGCAGCAGGACCCAAATGAAGCAATCCTTGATAGAGTATTATAGATCTGAACTTTACGCTAGGGAAAGGTCAGTAAGATTTCTCCTAAACCAAGTCAAGAAGAAACAATCTGCTCCAAAGTAGCCCTGTATGGCAGCACTTTATTCCACAGTGAAACAACAACTTGCATTTACACAGCACCCCTCACACAGGGTAATGTCCCAGAGCCCTTGACAGTGGCTGAGCATGACGCCGAGCCGGGGAGGGGGGGCACTGTTGCAGAGGAAATTCTTCAGGCACAACCTGAAGCTGGGGGAGGAAGGGGCAAGGTGGAACGATAGAGGAAGAGTGTTCCAGAGTTTTGGGGCATATGGTGCAACGGAAGACCCAAGGGACATGCAGAAGGCCGGAGCCAGTCGAGCATAGGCTGCGGGTTGTGGGGTAAGCAGGTCGGAGAGGTAGGGCAGTGCATGAAGGAATCTGAAAAAGGAAAATCAATGCACTGTTTATTAATAAGGAAAAAGATCAAGAGTCATATGGAAAATTGCAAGCAATTAGAAGTACTCTTTGCTCCCAGCGAAGTAAACAAGTGTATTATGTTATATTTGTTACCTGTGGTAAAGATCACAGAACTAACCGATTCTGATGCCAAACCACTGAAGTAATGTGTGTATAACAAGCCAGGGGAGGGTGGGAAGCAGGAAGAGCCTGGTACACCTGGAGACAGCGACCAAGAGAATCTGCAGTCTTGGCGAGAAAACAATATCCAGCACGAACTGTACTCTCAGCTTCAGGGAGCTTCAGTTCACCGCCCACGCACGCACACAGGCCTGCATTAAATCAAATTGAGGCATCAAGGAATATACATTATCCTTCCCACAATAGAGGGCAGCCCGAAAGTGCCCTCCCCCAGGTCAAATGGATTGAAGATAAATAGATTGTTATTGGCAAAGTTTTTTGTTTGACTTTTCTCCCTATCCATTCCATCAAGTCACTTTACTGTCATAAACACCTCGATCAGATCAACCCGCTACCTCCTTGAACAGAGTGCCTTGGTTTTATTTAATTATCTCTTCTGTGGAACGTTATCAAATGCCTTTTGAAAATCCATGGAAATGACATCCACTGATTGATTTCCAATTGATTCCATTCAGTGACTTCCTTAAAACACTAGCTTTGATGACATGACCTATATGTGGGGTAGATCATGTATAGATGCCTAAATGCAATCAAATATCTGATGATGAATTCACTACCACTGAAGTTAAATATACTGGCCTATAGTTATTTGCCTTTTCCTTCCCTCCTTTCTTAAATAGGGTGATATTTTCAATTCTACAATCCATCAGCCCAATTGCTAAATCAAGCAAACTTTGAATTTCACCAACCACAAAGTTCTTTCGACACTGAATGGAAGAGGTTCACAGATGGCAGGTCAGCATCAGAACATAAGATCTATTTTGGTGGAATGTGCTCAGCAAGCACTGACGTAGTTCTTGTCTCCTTCCTTTATCCGCCCCAACAGTGACTGGCAGGCAGGCAGACTGGCTTTCAGCCTTTCTGCCTCCACTCCGGAATTCCCTGACTCCCTCCACCCTCCTGGTCAAAGTCCATCTTGCACCATGCTTTGATTATCTTTCCCTTCTGCACCTCAACTCGAGTGCTCAGCCAATGCCGTTAAGTGCTTTGGGACGTCTCCTAACGTGAAAACGGTCACATAAGTGTAAATTTGTATTATTATATGCACCCCATCCAATGAAGACGTCCTACACACATACACACTTTCTCTTTAGTTATTTTGTTTCAGGGAATTCTAATGCCTACCCCAGTGAAGCCAACCAGAACTAGTTTTAATGTCTCATCCAAAGGGCAACACTTCAGATAACGCAGTGCTCCCCCCAGTACTGTGCTGGAGTATCAGCCTCATATCAGGCAACTATTGTGTAGAAATATGCAACAACAAGATTCCATTTATAAAGCGCCTTTCACGTCAGGAGGACGTCCCAAAAGGAGGGAGGTGGCGGGAAGGCCGGCGAGGAGAGAGTTCCCATAGTCCAGCCTTGAGGTGATAAAGGTGTGGACCAGGGTTTCAGCCGCGTGAGGGGTGAGGTAATGCCGTAGTCTGGCGATGTTCCGGAGGTGATGGAAGGCGGTGCCAGTTGTGGTGCGGATGTGAGGGAGAAAGGACAACTCAGGGTCGAACAAAACGCCGAGGTTCCTGACCGGCTTTGAGAGGTGGAGAGTGCGGAGCTGATGGTGTCGGTGCCTGAGGTGCGGAGGCGCTGACGTGAGCCAATCAGGAGGGCCTCGGTTTTTCGCACGTTGAGCTGAAGAAAGTTGTCTCTCGTCCAGGACTCGATGTCGGACAGGCAGCTGTCAGGACATCGGGGGTCGTGGAGTTGAGAGTAGAGGAGGAAAGGTAGAGTTGGGTGTCATCCGCATACATGTGGAAGTTAACTCCATGTCTGCGGATGATGTCACCACAGGGGGAGCATATAGAGGGTGAAGAGGAGGGGACCGAGGACAGAGCCCTGAGGGACACCACATGAGACAGTACGGGGGGTGGAGGAGAAGCCATTCGTCGAGACAAAGTGAAGACGGTGAGAAAGGTACGACCTAAACCATTCAAGGACAGTGCCTTGAAGGTTGAGGTGGGAGGACAAGCGGTGGAGTAGGATAGTGTGGTCGACCGTACCGAATGCTGCCGATAGGGTTAGCTAAGATCATGCCTAGTCCTTCCTTGATAATTAATCTACAGGGGACGGATAATTCTTACATTTGGCTTCGCACCTTTCGGGTCGGGAAGAAGTCCCAAAGCCCTTCATAGAATATACTGAGGTGCAGTGACTTATTTATGGGCAAATGCTAGAAGAACACAAGAGAATGAACTTAAGAAACTATTTTAATACGCCTGCAAATCCCACAAGAGTCAGACAACATTTTTAGCTTTACTAGCCAGTGCAATTCTAACAGTGAGAAAGGAACATTAATGGGAATATAATGCAAATGTATTTTTCAGCTGTAGAGTGCAAGTGCAGGCTGGTCAGAATTAATTTATTGTAACTAGGTTTCAATTCCCAATTGGATGATAGAAATCATGGAATAGAATCAAGCTGTTTGAGCATGCTCAAGACAGCACTCAAATAACTAGCCATTGCCTTTTTATGATTTCTTTTCAAATATTTGCCTATTTCCTAATAAAGAGTAGATTCTGCTTCAACCACGTTAATGGCAAAGTCTAGACTGACACTCCAATGTAGTGCTTTGGGTATGCTGTATTCTTGGGAGACATACCAACTTGCATTTATATAGCACCCTCCACGCAGGACGTAGTATCCAGTAAACCACGTCTGTCTGTCCAGGTGGATGTTAAAAATCCCACAGCAACTCAAAGAGAAGGGAGTTATAGCCAACAAACAAACCAGCAGTTTCAGTGCCCAGCCAGAATTGTTGAGCACTTTCGGACATCCTCCAAAGTCAAAAGGAGCTAAAGTGTAAATTGAATTGTATTAAATAGACACAATTGATCATTTGTTTCCCGGCTGTTTATGGGCCATTACTGTAAGCAAGTTGGCTTTAGTGTTCACCTGCAAATAGTCACTAGTAAAATCCTGTGAAGAGTTTGAAATCTCAACGATGTGAAAAGGCATTGTATCAAAAGCAAGAATTATCATTTAATAATCCTCTGTCAAAACAAAATTCCAACCTCTCCCTTTTTTGTCACTGATCTTAAAACTTATGCCTTCCAGTTACTGATTCCCCGCCAAGTGGAAATAATTTACTTGTTGAACATATTCACCAATTATTTAAGACCCTTTTTTTTCCCCCACACAAAGAGAGTGGAACTCTGGAAATCTCTCCACCAGAAGGCCGTGGATACTGGATGCATTCATTTTTAAGACTGAGTTGAATAGATTTTTGTTAGGTAAGAGTATCAAGGGATATAGGGCAAGAGCGGGTAATTGGAGTTGAGGTACAGAGTAGCCATGGTAGAATGGTGGAACTGGCTCAATGGGCTGAATGGCCTATTCCTGCTCCTATGTACCTAATTCCCCCCACCGCCGCAAAAGAAAAGGAAAAGCTGCTAGATTTTTTTGTGCTCCATAGAGATACTGAAATCAAAGGCAGTCAATCACTTCAATCCTCTTGCTAAAGCAGCAACTGAATTCAATAATTCAAGGCAGCTAAGATCCTTACAGGAAAGGATTTGTAAGGAAAAGAGAGAGAGGTAAAAAAGG